TTACCATGGCGCTTACAGCGGCTCTCATCTGGTTCAAACCCCTGCTTTAAGTCCCCGTTAATTGTTAACCTAAGTACATGCGTACTGTCTGCTCGTTGCAGCCATGGTACTCACAGCGGCTCTCATCTGGTTCAAACCCCTGCTTTAAGTCCCCATTAATTGTTAACCTAAGTACATGCGCTACTGTCTGCTCGTTGCAGCCATGGTACTCACAGCGGCTCTCATCTGGTTAAGGCCCCCATTCGCCGTGACCAGCAGATAGCCGTTGGTGGAGCCCTTCACAGGCACTGGGGGGAGGAGACAGGGAGGAAGGGAGGGGTTCGGGGATTGGGACTGGGAAGTGAGATGGGGGGAGGAAATGGGAGCCGGGGGGGGGGCGGGGAAGAAAGTGCAGAAGAATTTGAAGTCCACAGATCATCTCTCCCTTTCCCTGTTCCCGTACGCCTCCCCTCTTCCCTTTCCTTTCCCCTTTCCTTCCTCCCGTCCCTCTCCCCTCTGCCCCCTTTCCCCAACCCCTTTCCCCGACATTCCTTCGCATACCTTTATGGGTGCTGGAGCGAGCAATACACTGCGCATATTTCTGACTCTTCGGGGCTCTCCAAAGGAATTTCTCTCTAACGGGTACGGGAGGCGCATGGGAGAGTGAGGCGTTGAACCCAAATGGGGGCAGGGGAACGGAGGAGGAAGAGTAGGAATACTCAGAGAGTGGGGATACTAGGGAGGAGGAGGAAGTGGAGGACGAGGAAGAGGAGGAGGTGGTAAGTGAGTGACCAGTCTCCTCATCCCCATACTCATGCTCCTCTGCCAATCTGTGCTCATGCTCCTCTGGCGCCCTGTGCTCCTGCTCCTCTGCCAATCCGTGCTCATGCTCCTGCTCCCTGTCTCCTTGCTCTCCCTTCTCTTCCCTTCCTCTGTCGTCGCCCTCCATTCCAACCCCTGGCTCCTGTCCCTCGTGACCCACGTGCCCCTCATGCTCCTCATGCTCCTCATGCCCCTCGTGCCCCTCGTGCCCCTCGTGCCCCTCCTGTGCCTCATGCCCCTCCTCTCCCTTGCGCTCCTCTTCCCCTTCCTGTTCCCCGTGCTCCCCGTGCTCCCCGTGCTCCCCGTGCTCCCCGTGCTCCTCGTGCTCCCCGTGCTCCCCGTGCTCCTCATGCTCCCCGTGCTCCCCGTGCCCCCCCTCTTCACCGTGCTCCTCCCCAATATGGCTACTGCCGTCACTTAGGCCTCTCGAGGCATCCTCCTTCTCCCCTCTCCCTCTGCTGATCGCCAGCCCTTCCTCCTCCTCCTCAGCTTGCTGTTTACCCTTCCTCTCACTTCCCTCCTCGGTCTCCTCCTCAAGATGTCTCTTTCCTCCATGCTCTCCCTCCTCTCCGTCCTCGTCCTCACCTTCCCCTCTAACCTCCCCGTTACTCCCCCCCTTCTGCTTCCCCTTACCGCCCAACTCTTCATCTTCCTCCTCCCCCCTCTTCGCAGGCCCCAAACCGTCCTCCTCCCGATGCGGCCCCTTCCTTCCCCCGATCTCCTCATCGTCTTCATCCCCGCCCCTCAACCCACTCCTATCAGTCGTTTTCTCGCCACGCTTGCTACCCACCTCGTCATCATCCTCCTCTCTTCCTCCCACCTCCCCCCCATCCCGGTCGTGCCTCCGCCACTTCCCATTCCCCCTCGTGCCTTGTCCCGCCTCCCCTTCATCCTCCCCCACAGCCTCTTCCCTCCTGTTCTCCTCCCCTCCATCTCTCTCCCTTTCAGAGCCCCTGTCTCTCTCGTCATTCTCTTCCGTCCTGTACATTCGTTTCCTCTTTCTCTGCTGCGTCAACCCACTCTTCTCTCCCTCTCTCCCCCTCCTTCCTCCCCGTCTTCACCAGCAATCCGCTTCCCCCACACACGCCCTTCCTCCCCTCCTCTGCCCTCCTCCCCTCCCTTGAACTCAACTTCTTCCTCACTATCCCCATGTCCCCCCTCCCCTCTGCTTCCTCTCCCCTCCTCCTCCCCTCCCAGTCTCCTCCCTGCAACCGCACTGCTTCCCTCCTCACCATCTCTTCCCCCTGGACGCCTTCCCCCCAGAGATTGCAAATCCGAGCCTGATTCCGGACCTAATTCCGAACCTAATTGCGAGCCTGTAATCATTCTGGTGGTTCCGTGCCCCTCTCCTGAAAACTCCGCATTTTCAGCCGTCCTCGGCGGCGGTTGATCCTCGTCCAATCCCAGATCGTCGCCGGAGCCCGCAATCATCACTTCCGCACGGCCGCTTCTTAAGTTGCGGCTCGCGAATAAGGCTTGCTGCGCGTCGCCATTTCCGTTGACGATTTCGCTCGCGGGCACGATTTCTCCCTGATGCAATTTGGCCAGTGGGATCACACAGAAGAGACTAGGGTTAAATGAATGTAGATGAGAGTGTAGGTTGGTGAGTGACGGCGGAATTTTGAAGTCTTGAAACAAGCATTAGTTCTCAAGCGCAGATATCATGCGCATTGCAATACGCATTGCGCACGTGGAGTTGCCAATTAGAGGTCACGGACGTCAACGGTTGAGGAGGGACATTGAGTTAGCAAAGTAGGGCCAAGAATTTGGGAAATTTCTAGGACCACGTATTCTCAAGAACCTTTTATAGGTCACCGACGACGGTCGAGGGAGTGATTTGTGAATCGAGATCGAGCACCCTCGCAGGACTGACATAATGCCCTTGATTATCGTTGATTAGGTTGATTGTAACCTCAGATCCATTCACGAAGTTCATTCACGAAGTTCATTCTCACACCAAATACGCAAGCACGCATGCACGAACGGACGAACGGACACTCAGATCGAAGCTCCGACCAAGAGCCATCAATCAAGAGCGTACCTTAAGATGAGCTCACGGAGATGGCCATCGTTGTAGTTCCGGCGAATATTACAAACATAATGAGAGGCCGCAAAACGCGTACGTACCTTGTTGAGAGGAAGTAAGCCGCCGCAAAACGCGTACGTACCTTGTTGAGAGGAAGTATTGATCTGAAGGAGACGGCAACCATCATAATTCCGGTGAACAGAAGAAACATCGACTCGCGGAAGCTCAGCATGTTCTGGGACGGCTTAAAACGCGTACATACCTTGTTGAGTGAAGGTATTGATTTGAAGGAGACGGCAACCATCATAATCCCCGCGAACAGAAGAAACATCGACGCGCGAAAGCTCAGCGGAACCACTCGCTTCCCCTCGTGCGCCTTCCCCCGCAGCCACCTGCTGCCCTCCGCATACGCCTTCCGCGCCGTCCGCTTCCCCTCCCCCGCTTCCGCTCCCCCAATCGCCGCTCCCCCGACCACCGATCCCCCGATGGCCATCGGCGGATTGTGCGAGTTGGCGGATTTAGGCATAGCCGCGGGTCTACATGAGATCGACTGATCGCCTGGAAGCCTGTCGGTACACGGAGAGGCGAGTAACGGGGATGATTCGTAGCTCTGTGGCGGAGCGGCGTGATCGGGAGTGTGGTGGTGGAGGTGGAGGAGGTGATTGTGTGGAGCGGCGTGAAGATGCACGTTGACGCCCGGCTGTTCCGCCATTGTTGCAAAATATCGCGAAGTTGATAAAACGCAACGCGTACGTAACGCAGAGTTCCAGCGGCGTTTTATTTACACTGCATGCGAGGCTCTAAGAGTGATCTAGCGAGCAGCTAGACGGGAGTTACGCGAGGGATGAGCCGTGAAGTCATTGTTGATCTTCGTGAATCAGCCGAGCTACGTGAAACACCGAGTTTCCCGTGGTACGAACCGCCAGGTTGAATATACTCATTGATCGGCTGTGAGCATTTTCGCCTTTGAAGCGCCGCGGAAGGTTCGGTTAGCCGCGATCAAGCAGGAATGGACCGTGTTTTTGTAGCGACTAGAGACTCCTGTTAAAGTTAGTACTTTCCGGGGACGCTTCCTCGATAGACAAAGACGAAAACCAGTCAGCGCTTTGAAGGAAGGCTAACATATTGAAGAGCCGTAGGTTAGTAAACTGTCGCATGGCATACCGTGTCTGTAGATAACGAAGTGAGGATCATCATGTACAGCAGCTACCAACAATGTGGTTGGAACTTGGATGGAGAACGAGCTGATGGGAGAACTCCTACTTGTATACCGCCAGAGCAGAATCACATGGGGTTGACTGGGAGTGTGACTGGGGTGACTGAGAACTGATGAAGTCGGTGGTATGGTTTAGTAAGGTATGGCTGGAGTGAAATGGGTTAGCCAGGCGAGAATGCAATTGGCGGAATAACTCAAGGTCAGGAGGAAGGGAGTGCCACAGATGCACAGGGGGAGGGGAAGCGACGGGGAGGGTTAGGAGGGTTACAGAGAGTTTGAAAAGGATGAAACGGGGTAAAGAGGTTGCGAAGTGAGGGGAAGGTATGGTAGGAGCGGACGGGTGGAACTCTGAAGGGAAGCAAGGTGCGGGAGTCAAAGCAGCCTTGGAAATCCCGCGCCTCGACAAAGCCTCCGCCTGCCCACTCACAGACACCCACGGACTGGCTGCGTGATACAGCCGCGTAACCTGTTCCTGGTCTGGAGGAGCTTGAAGCCTGCGACGCATCGTCCCCGCCCTGCGCATTGAGATTGCTATCGCGGGCTAACGAGCACCGTTGGATTGGTGGGTCTGGTCAGATCCGTTCTGGCGAATCTCCTCAACCGTCGCTTTGGTTCGGGAGGTGCTTTGCCCGAACCCTCAGGAATTGGCGGGGAAGCAGCCGAACTGGGCTGTGTAAGGCGGGAAAGTCTGTTGAACGCTAGAGCATGCTGGTAGCGAGGCCAAGAGCCAAGGTGCCAATAAAAGCAGTAACTTCGCCCTGCACATGAAGTGTTGCACCAATATAAGGCTTATGCGCTAATGAAATCTACAAGTTATTGTTAAATGCTAAAAAAATTAAGAACAAAGTTGAAACTCGGTATCACATCCCTCAATTAAGCCATTAATGAATTCAAACCAACTTACATGTGTTTGATATAAGTGCAATGAATCAAGGCCAAATATGTATTTCATGCAAATGCTAGATTCCCAGTATGATGATTGACAAGGAATTTCATGAATGGAAACAATATAAGGTCGTGAGTCTCTAAATTGCAGGCCATGAGTTCAGGCCAGCTTGGGGCAATTATTAAGATTCGCCATTGCCAATTTGCAGTTGGCTTTAGGGCAGCAAGTACCGAACTGGTTCCAAAACTCATGTCAGATGTTAACGAATTTAATCTTCAGGAGGAGGCGGCGCGGTGACAGGCATTTTGAGCTTCCAGCCTGGCTGGATGATGAAGAGATCATCGTCAATTGGGCTGTCAAATCGAGCCTTCTTGAAGTAGTGCCGGTTCTCGTTCACTATGTCTGGTGTGAGGGGGTGGGGGAAGAGGAATGAGTGAGGGGGAAATGAAGAATGATAGAGATACACATGACGTGCAGGCACACAAACATGAGTAAAAAGAGATACACATGATGTGCTTGCAGGAAGTAGCAGCTCTGATCACACACGGCCGACGCATTAGAAGGGAACCAATTCAGTGCTCTTGGAAAGCCTGATTGTGGCAATCACTTCTACTAATTACGGATAAGAAAACCACTCAACGTTTTCCTGCAATAAGGTGTGTGAAACAACCCACTCTTACAATGGCCACGAGCATAACATCCCCCCATCTACCCACACACTAACTCACCCTTCCAGTTGGTCCCTGCACCTGTGAGCTGCCTGCTGATGTCCCACAGACAAACCTACCCTCCCAGTTAACATAACCAGTCTCGCTCTACCAGTGACCCGCGCACACACTCACCCTTCCAGTTCGTTCCCGTGCCTGTCAGATGCCTGCTGATGCCCCACAGGCAGTCGCCCTTCTTCACTGTCGTCGACACCGTCACTGTCTTGCGCTTGCCAATGCGGGGCACCTGGCGGGGAGGAGTAAGGGGAGGATGAGACGGAAGGGGGAGGAGATTTGATGGCGAATCATCCTTCGCTGTTGTCGCCACAGGCACCGTCGTGCACGGGCCAATGCGGGCCGTCTGGCAGGGAGGGTAGGAGGAGACAGTCTCGCAATTTGAACGAGGCCGAGAGCGACGAGGGGATACGGTGGGTACAGACGGCGTAACGGGTTCCTGGTATGACAGCTTTTTAGTACACGTGTTCTGCGGTTGCAAACTGAAAGTCTGTTTACCATAGAGAACATGGTGGTTACTAGAAAGCGCATGGTGGTTACCAGGATGTACATGGTGGTTACCAGAGTACACGTGTGGAGGTCAGTTCGTGGAGCCATGGCCCTTGGGTCCTCCCCAATGCGATCCTGGCATCCCTCGTACACGTCTGATGGCACGAGGGAGGGAGGAGGGAGGGGGAGGGGGGGGGGTGGGGTGGGGGGAGGAGACTATTTTTGAGGCGCCTCAAAAAGAGGAGAAGGAAGAGAGAAAGAGGGCAAGCATGGAGGTTTCTCTAATTGGTGAACTCGTGGGTCCTCCCCACTGCGATCCTGACAACCGTCGTACACGTCTGATTGCAGGAGGGAGGGGGCGGGGGAGGGGGGGGGAGCGAGGATTACACGGATCAGACGCAAGCGGAACTCGAGGAGGCCTGACCAAGAGAAGGGCGCCGAGAAGAGCAGATGGAGGGGCAGAGGCATCAGGTGTATTTTGAGCCGACTCAAAATACACCTGGACGCAACGGGAACGTGAGGAGGCCTGACCAGGACAAGGGCGCCGAGAAGAGCAGATGGAGGGGCAGAGGCATCGGGAGGACCGACGACAACAAAAACAAAGATGGTAGGTAAACAACAGTACGTACGCGGCCATTGCTTGGGGTCACTCCACATGGCCTTGCTCCACGACCACAGCGTCGACTTCGCCGGTCCGAGCCCCTGATTACCGCTCTGATGCCCTCCCGCACCGAACCTGAACACCCCATCGTCTTGCTGCTGCTGCTGCTGCTGGTAGTGTTGCTGCTGTTGCTGCTGCTGCGGCTGCTGATGCTGTTGGTATTGCGGCTGCTGCTGCCACGACCACTGGTGTTGCTGCTGCCGCTGCTGCTGCTGCTGTTGTGGTTGGTACTGAGCCGGTTGGATGAAAGCTTGGTTCTGCTGCGTTTGAATCGCCGCGTGCTGCGGCGGCGGATGCGGCTGGAACGACTGTTGCTGTTGAAACGCGGTTGTGGTTGTGGAGGCTAACGTACGGTTCGGATTGTGCTGGTGAGCCGCCGGTTCGTATCGACCGTCCGATCCACGCGGCGTCTGCCGTTGCCGCGTGCGGATGAAGAGCGGCTGGCGTCGCGGCGTCAGATCGCTGAAGCCCGACCCGCTGGACGCCTTCGCGCCGCCTTGAAACGGAAGCATTGCGGCACGAAAGGTTTAGGACCAGATATCTCTGCCTAGAAAATACTATTTCGGTAGGATTATGTGAAGGACGTATGTGTGCTCTCTCACAAGCGTGAGATCAGGAAATATCATAAAAGAGTCTTAGCGTCCATAACTGCAGCACACAGCCGACTATCTGCAGAGTCAGTGAACGTAGATCAGAAAACTGTACTAGAAAGGAGCTGACGAACTTGTGAGAAGAAGACAGACCGCCTGCAGATTTGAATGCACGGTAACCATAGGAGCTAGATTGGCGCAAAAATGGCGCAAAAAGGCGCGGCTCTGTCTGCGATTTGCCTCACTCTCTGCCCCCCGGCTATGGTGCAGATTTGGCGCGAAAACATCTATGGTCATGGGAAGTCCAGAACCTGCACACGGAGGCTCGGGGCCGTTTTTGGTTGGAGGCCGGGCCTGATTGTTCTGGTAATTGTGCTTTGGACAAACTGGCGAAGCTCTAGCATTGGCCAATTGAGATGCTTTGAAAGTTCGGAGGTGTTATGAATGAACAAGCAGAGTAGCGCGGAAATGAATAATGAAGTGTTCACTCAATGAATGACGATACAAGGAATGGCAAGCCAAGATATAGGAACACCAGAGCTAGTCTAACCATGCGATGGTAAGGTTCGGGAAAGAGATCGAAGGGTCTCGAAGTGACGAAACGAGGCCTGGGGGACTCCCGAAGGTCGAACTAGCAGGTCTGGAGAAGCCGAGGCGGTTCTGTCAGAAGGTCTGGAACAGTCCCGAGGCTTCGGGTGTGTTCGAGCGTACGCGATAGCAGTACCGCTCGGTAAGGAATGGAAAATTCCTTACAGGAGGAGAGAAAAGGCACCGCCTACCACGGCTCTTTACCCCTAACATTTGAGACAGCAGAATGGCTCTGATTAGGTGGCTGCACTGCAGAGATAAGATAGATTCTTCTTAATGGAGATTAGACTACTTTAAAAGAATGAAGGCGAAGGTATATAGCTCCGTGATTAGTGCTTCCATAGTGATATAATCTATCAGCTAGAGTCAAGGCCCTATATGAGTATGCAAATGATCCTGTAAGGCATGATGGCTGTAGAAAGGTTGTTCTCACTGAGTTGCCCCGTCAGGGTGACACCAAGCTATGACCTAGCCCTTGGCCTTTCCTCGCCTTTCTTCCAGCATTCCAGCATTCCGCATCGTTTCCTAGTCGTCAGGCCTTGAGTTCCCTCATATCCACATTGTTTCCTAGCCGTTGCCTTGTTTTAGCGTTCTCGCCCTGCCGCTAGTAGAAAAAGTCGAGACGAGGCACCACTCGTCGTCCTTCATTAACATTGGCGCCGATGGAGTGCTCCGTGTATCAGCAATGGGACCGCGTCGTAGCGCACTTCGTAAGAACAACACCTTCCAATTCATAACGTCTTATCCAGAGCTGCCTCCAGATCGATCCCTCTCCGTGGCAGGACCTCGGCTGTTTTTATTTACGCGCTGGTGGGTCAGAGAAGGCATTCCGAGTTTTCCGCAACCTCCTAATTCTGTTTCGCCTCTTGATCGATTGGTCGCCTTGGCAGGACCTCGACTGCTTCTACGCTCAGGTGGAGCTGCAGAGGCGACCGGAGCTGAAAGACCGACCTCTAGGCGTTACACAGGTGAGTGCGGTGAGGTGGCCGAGATAGAAAAACCGATCTCTTTATTTTCTAGGCGGCTGAAAAATCGCAGGTGGAGCAGCAGAGGCGACCCGAGCTGAAAGGTATACCTCTAGGCGTCACGCAAGTGAGTGTCAGAGGCGGTTGCAGACAGATAAATCAATCCAGAGATGCTCTCCGCTGAAAGATGGTCCTCTGGGCGTCACACAGGTGAGTGTCATAGGCACCTCAGAAACAGGCGCTCATTTATACATTTTTTTTCTCCAACAATCGCGTTTCGGTGAATTGATAAGCAGCTGTCTAGTCTCTTTACCTAAACGCCAGAACTTAACCGGTGGTGAGTGGTGATGATGAGTCACCTCAATTTCTTCCTGCGTGGCAGAAATTTCTGGTGGTGACAGCCAATTATGCTGCTAGAGCGCGAGGCGTTCCGAAGATGGCCTCTGTTGCTGATGCCCGGACAAGGTGAGTATGCCGAGGGGGAGGTGAGTATGTCGAGGGGGAGGTGAGTATGGCGAGGATTGAGGGTTGTCATGGTGAGGTATGTCGAGGGGGAGGTGTGTACGGCGAGGATTTAGGGTTATCATGGTGAGAGCAGGTGATCCAACCAGGTGTGTGCTAATTATCGAAAAGGGAAACCGTCAATAATTATTTAGTTGAACAGAAAGGGTACTTTTACTCGAATTGAAAATGCTGTTTCAACCCATCAACTGCTTTGCGGATCACCAGTGCACAGGTGATGCCTAATAGTAATGCCTAGAAATGTTGCTTTCTTGCTTGCATGCACATACATGTCTCTGCCTAACTCAGGTGTCCAGAGATAGTGCTTATAAAGGGGGAGGACCTCACGCCCTACAGAGCAGCCAGCAAGAGAATCCTCGCTGTCCTTGCACGATTTGGAACCCTTGAAAGGTGCATCCTTTTCTCCCCGTCCCCCCATTCCTCCCTCTCCTCGTCCCCCTCCATTCCTCCCTCTCCTCGTCCCCCTCCATTCCTCCCTCTCCTCGTCCCCTCCATTCCTCCCTCTCCTCGTCCCCCTCCATTCCTCCCTCTCCTCGTCCCCCTCCATTCCTCCCTCTCCTCGCCCCCCTCCATTCCTCCCTCTCCTCGTCCCCCTCCATTCCTCCCTCTCCTCGTCCCCCTCCATTCCTCCCTCTCCTCGTCCCCCTCCATTCCTCCCTCTCCTCGTCCCCCTCCATTCCTCCCTCTCCTCGTCCCCCCCCCCCCCCCCCCCCCTCCATTCCTCCCTCTCCTCGTCCCCCTCCATTCCTCCCTCTCCTCGTCCCCCTCCATTCCTCCCTCTCCTCGTCCCCCTCCATTCCTCCCTCTCCTCGTCCCCCTCCATTCCTCCCTCTCCTCGTCCCCCTCCATTCCTCCCTCCCTCGTCCCCCTCCATTCCTCCCTCTCCTCGTCCCCTCCATTCCTCCCTCTCCTCGTCCCCCTCCATTCCTCCCTCTCCTCGTCCCCCTCCATTCCTCCCTCTCCTCGTCCCCCTCCATTCCTCCCTCTCCTCGTCCCCCTCCATTCCTCCCTCTCCTCGTCCCCCTCCATTCCTCCCTCTCCTCGTCCCCCTCCATTCCTCCCTCTCCTCGTCCCCCTCCATTCCTCCCTCTCCTCGTCCCCCTCCATTCCTCCCTCTCCTCGTCCCCCTCCATTCCTCCCTCTCCTCGTCCCCCTCCATTCCTCCCTCTCCTCGTCCCCCTCCATTCCTCCCTCTCCTCGTCCCCCTCCATTCCTCCCTCTCCTCGTCCCCCTCCATTCCTCCCTCTCCTCGTCCCCCTCCATTCCTCCCTCTCCTCGTCCCCCTCCATTCCTCCCTCTCCTCGTCCCCCTCCATTCCTCCCTCTCCTCGTCCCCTCCATTCCTCCCTCTCCTCGTCCCCCTCCATTCCTCCCTCTCCTCGTCCCCCTCCATTCCTCCCTCTCCTCGTCCCCCTCCATTCCTCCCTCTCCTCGTCCCCCCCTCCTCCCTCCCTCGTCCCCCTCCATTCCTCCCTCTCCTCGTCCCCTCCTTCCTCCCTCCCTCCCCCTCCATTCCTCCCTCTCCTCGTCCCCCTCCATTCCTCCCTCTCCTCGTCCCCCTCCATTCCTCCCTCTCCTCGTCCCCCTCCATTTCCTCCCTCTCCTCGTCCCCCCTCCCATTCCTCCCTCTCCTCGTCCCCCTCCATTCCTCCCTCTCCTCGTCCCCCTCCATTCCTCCCTCTCCTCGTCCCCCTCCATTCCTCCCTCTCCTCGTCCCCCTCCATTTCCCTCCCTCTCCTCGTCCCCCTCCATTCCTCCCTCTCCTCGTCCCCCTCCATTCCTCCCTCTCCTCGTCCCCCTCCATTCCTCCCTCTCCTCGTCCCCCTCCATTCCTCCCTCTCCTCGTCCCCCTCCATTCCTCCCTCTCCTCGTCCCCCTCCATTCCTCCCTCTCCTCGTCCCCCTCCATTCCTCCCTCTCCTCGTCCCCCTCCATTCCTCCCTCTCCTCGTCCCCCTCCATTCCTCCCTCTCCTCGTCCCCCTCCATTCCTCCCTCTCCTCGTCCCCCTCCATTCCTCCCTCTCCTCGTCCCCCTCCATTCCTCCCTCTCCTCGTCCCCCTCCATTCCTCCCTCTCCTCGTCCCCCTCCATTCCTCCCTCTCCTCGTCCCCCTCCATTCCTCCCTCTCCTCGTCCCCCTCCATTCCTCCCTCTCCTCGTCCCCCTCCATTCCTCCCTCTCCTCGTCCCCCTCCATTCCTCCCTCTCCTCGTCCCCCTCCATTCCTCCCTCTCCTCGTCCCCCTCCATTCCTCCCTCTCCTCGTCCCCCTCCATTCCTCCCTCTCCTCGTCCCCCCTCCATTCCTCCCTCTCCTCGTCCCCCTCCATTCCTCCCTCTCCTCGTCCCCCTCCATTCCTCCCTCTCCTCGTCCCCCTCCATTCCTCCCTCTCCTCGTCCCCCTCCATTCCTCCCTCTCCTCGTCCCCCTCCATTCCTCCCTCTCCTCGTCCCCCTCCATTCCTCCCTCTCCTCGTCCCCCTCCATTCCTCCCTCTCCTCGTCCCCCTCCATTCCTCCCTCTCCTCGTCCCCCTCCATTCCTCCCTCTCCTCGTCCCCCTCCATTCCTCCCTCTCCTCGTCCCCCTCCATTCCTCCCTCTCCTCGTCCCCTCCATTCCTCCCTCTCCTCGTCCCCCACTCCACCCCCCCTTTCCCCAACCCCCCTCCCCCCCCCCCCCCCCCCCCCCCCCCTCCCCCCCTTGCCGCGTCGCTTGTTTTACTGCCTTTTTTTTTTTGCTGCCCCATGACTCTTTCAATTAGACTCCAATCAAGCTCGGATCCAACTGCACATGTACGGGTCCGTGTTCCTTCTGGTGCCGTCTGAGACGTTCTGCCACGTGGCAGGCTTGGATTGGACGAGGCGTTTGTGGATCTATCACCCCGCGTAGCTGCAACGCTGGCCTCAGGAAGCTTCAAGGAAGGTTTCGTTGGGCACGTAGAGAGAGGGGGAGCAGGAGGCGGAGCAAATGGGATTGAGAGGGAAGGTGGACAGGAGAATCGCCATGATTGGCTGGCGAGCCAGGCGAATCGTCCACCCATGGGGCCGGGAGAGTACCACCTGGCAGCAGGCAGTTGGCTGGCGAGCCAGGCGAGGCGGGCAGTGGAGGAGGAGACGGGATACCAGATGTCATGCGGGGTGTCGCACAATGTGAGGCGTGTTGCACAATGTGAGGCGTGTCGCATAATGTGGGGCTTGCAATGGGGGTTGGGTTGCGGGGTTTGGGAATTGTGAGATGCAGGAGAGTGTCACATGTGGCGAGCAGTGGAGGAGGAGTCGGGTTACCAGATGTCATGCAGTGTGTCGCATAATGTGAGGGTCGCAATGAGATTTAGCTTGTAGTGTCGGATGTTACACTACGTGCGGAAGGGACCAGGTGTCAGATCAGATGTCATATGGGGTGTCGCATAATGTGATACGCATGCGGGGTGTTGCATAATGTGAAATGTGCGATGTGTTGAAGATCTGATAAGTAACGAAGAGTGGTATAGAGGTGGGGGTGGATCAGCTTTTATTCCTTAGCTCTTTCTTTTGTTTCTCTTCCCTCCCCCTCCCCCCCCCCCCCCCCTTTTTTTTGCCCGACCCTGCTTTTCAGAAACTTCTAGCGAAGCTTGTCAGCTCCCGCCACAAGCCCAATGACCAGACGACACTTGTCGCATCAGCAGCCATGGATTTCATCGCCAATCTGCCCGTCAGGAAGGTGCCAGGTGTCGGCAGGCGACTGGAGGAGCAGCTCGCCTCCAGGAATGTGACTCAAATGAAGGGTCTCTCCTCCTTCGCCCTCCAAGATCTCCAGTCGTGGTAAGTTAGCCTTTCTTGAGTATGCTATTCTTACGTGTGAAATGATGCTTTTGAGTCACACAACTGTGAATGCTCTTTCCCTCGCTCTCCACCACCAGGCTCGGCCCGAAGCTAGCGCCATTCCTCTTTGGTGCATGCCGAGGCTACGACCCCACGCCTGTGACGCCTAAGGGTCCACTCAAGAGTGTGTCTGTGGAAGACTCGTTCCTGCCCATCCATACTGTTGCTCAGGCCAAGGTACTTGTTCTTTTCCGCGAAAAAATGAATGAGATAATCTCTTGACACCCCATGATGACCCCACGCCTGTGATGGCCAAGGGTCCACCCAAGAGTGTGTCTGTGGAAGACTCTTTCCTCAATTGGTCCTTCATATTCGATAGAAGCAGGGCACAGGCATTATAAGGGGGTACGCATGTGGAAGACTCTTTCCTGCCTATCCATACTGTTGCTCACGCTATGGTACTATCCGTGTGTAATGAGTCGATTTTTGAGTGTAATGAGTCGATTGTTTAGTTGTAATGAGTCGATTTTTTAGTCGACTAAAAAATCGACTCATTACACACGGATCATACTGTTGCCCACGCTATGGTACACACAAGCACATGTGGTATTCAAAAAATATATAAATATGTGGATTTGGTATGTATGCAGCTGATGAGAGATCAAACGCTTGTCAACCCAAAGTTTGGATCCACCCAAGAGTGTGTCCGAGTAGCTTTGACGCCCAAGGGCTTTGCTATAGAGTATCTTGGTGGAAGACTCGTCTGCCCATCCGCCCTGCTACTCACGCTAAGGTACGTGAGTTCCCTGTGGGAGTTAGGGTTTCGGGTTTCGTGGAGATCTTTTCCCCATAGGGAGGTGGGGGGGGGGGCGGAGAGGGAGACGCACTCTGTTAAGAGGGGCTGTCAGGAGGCTGCCCCTCTGTGCGGCGCTCCGTCTATCCAACCCTTGCAGTTGGCGGTGGTGCATCGGCCAACATTCTAGATTTTCTACCCCGCATGATGCTGTTCTGGTGCTGAACAACAACGAACAGAATCAGGCCAGTTGGCGGTGGTGCATTGGCCAACATTGGCCTGATTCTGATTCGTTCTGTCTTTCTCCAAACCTAGTTTTGTTATTGTTTGTGTTGTTCTTGTTGCTCCTCTGCATATGTGTGCATCAGCCTATACTGCTGGATTTGCTACTAGATTTGGTAGCGCGCACAGATGAGTAGTGGCGCTTTTCACCTCATCCAGATCAGTGTTACTCTGCTGTGCTGTGCTTCCCTTCTGTGCCTCTTATAATCGTCAGCCGATACTGCAGGATCTGCTGCCAGACCTGGTAGCACGCATAGATGAGGAGTGGGAGGAGACCAGGCGAAGACCAAAAACGTTCACTGTCAAGTGGAGGAAGAAGGAGAAGGAGTACAGGTGAGGGGGATTAGGGTTGCTGGGGTGAGGGGGTGACGTGGTGTTGGGGTGACGGGGTGCTGGGGTGGTGCTGCTGGGGTGACGGGGTGCTGGGGTGACGGGGTGCTGGGGTGACGGGGTGCTGGGGTGGCGTGGTGCTGGGGTGACGTGGTGCTGCTGGGGTGACGGGGTGCTGGGGTGACGTGGTGCTGGGGTGACGTGGTGCTGCTGGGGTGACGGGGTGCTGGGGTGACGTGGTGCTGCTGGGGTGACGGGGTGCTGGGGTGACGTGGTGCTGGGGTGAAGGAGTGTGGTGGTGGGTGGTGGGTGGTTGGACCTGTGATGGCATGTGGGAGGAGACCAGGCAAAGACCAAAGACGTTCACTGCCAAGTGGAGGAAGAAAGAGAAGGAGTACAGGTGAGGGGGATTCCAGGCCCAGCCCCTTAAAGCCCTCCCCCCTCCACCCCTACCCCCTTCTTCCCCAACCCCCCTCTCCCCCTCTCTCATTCTCCCTGCAGGTTCACATTCGCCTCGTGCCCCATGCCTCCTGATGCCCGCTCTCCCTCCACCCATCCATATCTCCTCCGTTTCCAACCCCACCGCTCTATTTCCTCCCTTCTCCAACCCTCTTCCTCCCCCCCGGCCACCCCTTGCGGTCATTCCCTTCTCCCTCCAGGTTCACATCCGCCTCGTGCCCCCTTCCTCCTGATACCCCCTCCCGCTCCAACCATCCACATTCCCCCTCTCCTCTGTTTCCAACCCTCTCTCCTGACCTCTGTTTGCCCCCTGACCTTTCTCCCTGCAGGTTCACATCCGCCTCGTGCCCCATGCCTCCTGCTGTCCTCTCCCCCTCCACACCTCCCCCTCTACGCATCTCCTCTCTCCTCCACCTCGCCTCCTCGCTCCTCTCCCGTGCCTTCCCTCCTCCTCCTCCAGTCTCTGCCGCTACGTCTGCTGTTGCTGCTGCTGCTGCTGCTGGTGCTGGTGGTGCTGCTGTTGCTGCTGCTGCTGCTGCTGCTGCTGCCCCTGTTGCTGGTGCAGCAGCTACCGCTGCTACAGCTGCTGAGATCGGACTACCTGGCTCTAGAGAGGCTGCCGCGCTGCTTCCTGTGGTGGTGATCAACGTGGGAGCCACGAATTTCGTTTCTTCCCCTCAGCCGTCCCAATCCGGGCAGCCAGGGAGTGGTGGTGCTGGGTGCCTGGCGAGGTGGCTGAAGCCCCGAGGAGCGAACGCAGGGCCGAGGGTAGTTGAGGAGAAGGATGTAGGTCAGATGATGCAGGGGTGCCCACATGTGTCAGATGATGCGCTATGTGCGGTACCTGCTGTCGACAGTGGGTGCTCTCTGGTGCTTCAGCCAGGGAGTGCTGCTGCTGGGAGCCTGGAGAGGTGGCTTAAGCCACGAGGAGTGCATGCAGGGGAAGTGGCAGCTGGGGAGGGGGATGTGGAGCAGAGAGATGCGGTACCGGCTGATGAGAGGGGGTGCTCTCAGCTGGTTGAGCAAGGAAGTGCTGCTGCTGGGTGCCTGGCGAGGCGGCTGAAGCCCCGAGGAGTGGATGCAGGCCCGATGGTGCAGGGAGAAATCAAGAAGGGAGATGGGATACAGGAAGAGGTGGCAGGGAGAGATGTGTTACCTGCTATTGCAGATGACAAGGAGAGATGTGTAGAGAGTGGGTGCTCTCAGCTATTGCAGCCAGGGAGTGCAGCTGCTGGGAGCCTGAAGCGGGGGCTGAAGCCACGAGGAGCGGGTGCAGGGCGGCTGATGGTAGAGGGAGATCTGAGCCAGGGGGATAGGATACAGGAAGAGGTGACTAGGCGAGATGTGTTACCTGCTGTAAAGAGTGGATGCTCTCAGCTATTGCAGCCAGGGAGCGGTGCTTCTGGGAGCCTGAAGCGGTGGCTGAAACCACAAGGAGTGCACCCAGGGCAGATGGCACCGCGAGGGCTGATGCAGAGACAAGCAGAGGTGGGTAGAAATGCTGAGATGAGTGGAGCCTTGGCGGGACGAATGGAGGCGAGAGAACCAGCGCGTGTTGGGGAGGGGGGCAGTATGGAATGTGCCAATGTTGTTCCCCCAAAGCAATGTGGTCTTCTGGTGAATGATGATGCCAGAGAACAGTGCTCTGCCGGTAATTTGCTCGGCGGATTGTGGAATTGTGGGAGAGATGCAAAGAGGGGCCGAGACTGGATGCTCGGTGGTGGCAAGGGGAGCAAACGCTTCTGTGAGCTTCAAGATGTGGATCCTGGTGCAGAGTGTGCAACCGCCTGTGACACGGAGTGTGCGACCACTTGTGACACGGAGTGTGCGACCACATGTGACACAGACTGTGCAGCTGCACATGACATGTGGACGTCAGAGGGCACTGCACGTGATACATGGAAGTGTGAGGAATGTGGGAAGCAGATCCTGGCGGAGAAGGTGGAGGAGCACCTTGATTTTCACTTTGCATTGCGGCTTGAAGCGGAGGAAAGGCGGGTTTCTACGAGCTTAAGACAGACCTTCCGGCTAAAACGGGAGGTGTCACGCCTTGATAGCAATCACACCCGGAGTGAGATGCTAAGGAAACGTCCAAAACGTGTAAGTGCAAATAAGGGTGGCACTAGACCCGGTGCCAAGTCTACGGATGGGTTTCCGAAGGGCAAGTCAAGCATCAACAATACGCTGGATGCATTTGTGTCTCGGCACGCCTTGTTGAAGGAATGAAGCATTGGGCTTATTAAAAAATTAATAGTGTTGTGGACAATTTCCTCCTGTAAACGACTAATTTTGGCCATTCTAATTTTGCATGCCCAATGCCATTTTCATCGAAGTCATATGCTCAATGTATCCAAATACATTTCACCCTCATTATCGCGTGATTCGTTTTGTGGGCAGCACATTCGTCTCCCACGGGTCACCCCAGCGAAATCATCGTTAGCAAAGTCATGTGACTGGCTGGCGGTGGGTGGGCAGTTGCCAGCGTGGCTCCCCCCTTATGCTGTGCGTCAGGGCTTCCACCATGCCGTGCCGCGCACGACGTCCAGTGTGGAAGGACCAACATGGGGACGTCTCCCTCCAGAATCTTGGGAACAGCGCGTTTCGAGGGAACAGCCTCCATTGCCGGGAATGTCCCCCTCAGAATTACATCTCAGGGCTCACGCTAAGGGCTTTTTATAGTAGGTGTCATCCCGAAAAAGTGTCATCCGAGAATGCTGGAAACCCATCGCAGCCGTTATTTTGAAACTTCAACGGTTGCGATGGGTTTCTAACCTTCTCGAATGCCACTTTCTCCAGATGACACCTAGTAGAAACAAATCCTCAGACCGGACTCGAAGTAGCCGAGGTCATTTTTTTCAATCGGAGTCGGCAATTTTTGTGCATTAAAGCTAATAGCCGACGTCGGATAGAAAAAATAGGATTCCGTGAGATACTACCCACTAACGTAAATCCAACCTCATCATAGAGCCTCTTCACAGCTAAGGGGGAGCCAAGAGAGCCGTAAGGTAGTGAGCCGTTTCTCCCTCTTGCTGGTTCGGAAGTAGAAAATCCTCCCGCTAACCTCTCAACAGAACACCAACGTAGGGAATCAATTGCTGTCACTGGATTCGCGGAATGGCGGGGGGAAAAGGAGGGCGGGGTGGCGGAGGGTAGGGATGATATAGAACAGTGCTGGCATATTCCACTCTACAAATTAACCAAGTACGGAATCAGCAGGGACTAGTCGGAATCTCCAGGAGCACACGAAAGTTAATCTGTTAAGCGGACAGGATTAAACATTTTTACATAAACAGTGTCTCTTAATTTCTCTGAATGAAGGGCGACTACTCTGTTGAAAATAGGCTTATGATTGTATATTTCTGTACGTACCCCTCGGGAGAAATTGGGGCTTGCGCACTTAATGGAATTCCGCCACCCATCGAGAATGCACCTTCTGGGAAAGCATTGAACCTTTAGGGCGGATCCAAATAGTTCAATTGGGGGTTTTGGACACATTTTTACGAACTCGGGTACGACAGCTGAAAACGATCCCAGAATCGTTTCCTCCCCAAACCGCGTCTCATATTGCGAATGAAACAGAAGTTGGCGCAAACTGGGTGCGTCCCAAAAAAATGGTTTGCGTCAGACGCTCCAAATCGCAGTTACCAAATGTCGCAGCTCGCGAAAAAAGATTATTCGTGCTGGGTTAAGTGGCAGGTGTGATTTGGCGTTGCGCCACGCCAGCTGTTCGCGAGGTCGCCTTGTTCTCGCTAAGCCTGGCTTGGCGAAACCCCAAAGCGCCACACGTGTCCACCGATACCAGAACCAAAACGTAATCCTAACGTCACCGAATCGTAAATGAATCATGTGCATTCACATGTGTCGAGCGTCCCGAGTTGCGTCAATATCGCGCACGTGTCCCCGCGAAATCCAAACGAGGTTAAACTCGGGTTAATTTTCACGAAATGAATAGAGAATGAATTATTTGGACCCGCCCTTAGAAATTGCACCCCTTGGATTGCATTCTCGTGGTTGCACCCGTGAATTCAGGACAGCTTCCGCCCTTTGCACGTTCCGCCGCGTTTCCGTGCCAAGCGTGCTTTCCCTTTCCCCGCCTGTTGTCCGCTCCGCTCTAGGCAAACCAAACAACCACGCCAACCATCACTTTCCAACCAATCCCGCTGCCAGTGGTGGTTCCCCCAAGCGCGCGCGATTCGCTCCTTCCGCCAGCAGCACTCCGCCCCCTCGCTAGCACCCCTTCCCACTTCCGTTTTGCCTCCCATAAAGAACCTGCCGCTCTGCTGCTCTCTCAGAGCATAACGTAGACCCGTTTCTTGAAACGCATGCGCCTATTCCTTCGCTTAACAACACCCACTCCAAACACTTCAGTTGACATCGTGTGCAGTAGAGTAACACACTAGGTTCTTGCCTCTTTGAAAGTCAACTGCGCGTCCCTCGACTCGGAGTACACTTCAAAACTTCTGAATTCAAGTAACGCGGCGCTAAGAAAAAAACTCGTCAGCCATGGATCAGATGCTCGGATGCCTCCAGGTGGACCAATCAACGGTCGCGATGATCGAGCATTTCGGGCGGTTCGTGCGCGCGCTCGACCCGGGCTGCTACTGCGTCCCGTGGTGCTGCTGCTACCGCACCGCGGGGCTCATGAGCCTTCGCATTAACCAACTCGACGTGCGCTGCGAGACTAAAACGAAGGACAACGTGTTTGTGACAGTGGTCGCGTCGATTCAGTACCAGGCCATTCGCGAGCAGGTCGAGGACGCGTTCTACCGCCTCGCGGACCCTCAAGCTCAAATCCGTTCCTACGTCTTCGACGGTACGCGCCCAAATTTATTCCTGCCTTTGAAAGGGCTGCCCCCCTGACAACACGTCACCGTCTATGTGACTGTGGGCGTCGATTCAGCTCCCAACTATCATCCCACGTCGTCGATTCCGTTCCCGTCGGCTGGACAGACGGTACGCGCAGCTCTCCTCCAGCTATTAACCCAAGTCCTGGCTTCACGGTCTGAGGGATGCTCTCATCAAGAAGTGACCAGCGACATTTGATGCGACATTTGATGCGACATTTGATGCGACATTTTATGCGACATTTGATGCGGCATTTGATGCGACATTTGATGCGACATTTGTATCGAAGAACGAGATTGCGTAATGCGTTTCCCCGCCTCCCACTTCCCCCCCCCCTCCCCTCCCCCCGGCCCCCCCCCGGCCCCCCGCGCGTCTTTTTCCGCGCGCAGTTGTGCGCAGCAGCGTGCCCAAGATGGAGCTCGACGAGGTGTTTATATCGAAGAACGAGATCGCGCAGAACGTGGAGAAGGAGCTCGAGAAGGTACGGAGAACCTGGCCTTTGAAGAGACCCATCAATGACTTTCGAGGTGACTTTTGAGCAGACTCAAAAGTTAAAATTCACCTTTCGAGCCACCTTTTGTGTTGCTTATATCGAAGAACGAGATCGCGCCGAACGTGGAGAAGGAGCTCGAGAAGGTACGGAGAGAGCGAGACCTTCGACTGTCAGGTATGGCGAAAACGAGTATTTTGAGTCGACTCAGAAAGAAGATTGCGCAGAACGTGAAGGAGCTCGAAAAGGTACGGAGAGAGGCAAGTAAACGAGTGGAAGCCTTTTTTTTGTGAATTCTCAAAATGACTACCCCGTGGCAGATAAACGATGTTTCGTGCCGTTGGCAGATTTTTTTTATTTTTATTTTTAACCCCGACAGGCCGCCGAGACTGCTATTGTTCAAATGCCTCCCTCCTGCACTTCCCTTTCGCTCATAGTTATGCTCAAACCCCAGGATGTGCTCCCCGTGACCCCGTGACCCCATGACCCCATGACCCCGTGACCCCATGACCCATGACCCCATGTCCCCATTCCCCATGACCCCATGCGCCATGACTCCATGTACCATGACCCATGACCCATGCCCCCATGACCCCATGCCCCCATGACCCCATGATGCATGACTCATGACCTGACCCATTACTACATACCCCATGACGCTCATTATGCCCTCCCTGAACACCGCAGGCCATGCACGACTATGGCTACCGCATCGTGCAGACGCTCATCGTGGACGTGGAGCCGGACGAGCGAGTTAAGGTCGCCATGAACGAGATCAACGCAGGTGGGTGAGAGTCAACGCAGGTGGGTGAGAGTCAGCGCAGGTGGGTGAGAGTCAACGCAGGTGGGTGAGAGTCAACGCAGAAGGGTGAAGGTCAATGCAGGTGAGTGAGTCAGCACACGTCTGTGAAAGTCATTGCTGGTGTTTGAAATCCGGCACACCCCTCCGCAACCCACCTCGCCTCACCCCTCCGCAACCCACCTCGCCTCACCCCTCCGCAACCCACCTCGCCTCACCCCTCCGCAACCCACCTCGCCTCACCCCTCCGCAACCCACCTCGCCTCACCCCCACCTCACCCCACCCTCCAGCCCAGCTCATTCGGCAGGCGACCCAGGAGAAGGTCGGAGGTGGAGGAGATTCTGCAGGTCAAGAAGGTGGAGGCCGATGCCGGTGTCTGGGCTATCTCAAACCAACGGTTCCCTTGACTCCTTTCCCCCGTCTTTCCCTGGTCCTCCCCCAGCCCCTCCAGCCCAGCGCATTCGGCAGGCGAACCAGGAGAAGGCGGAGGGCGACGCCGAGGCTCCAACTCCACTCTTCCCCTCTTCCCCTCTGCCACCCCCCCCCCATCCCCCTCCAGCCCAGCGCATCAGGCAGGCGACTCAGGAGAAGGCGGCTTCTGATTGACTCATACAATCTCCTCCCCGTCATCCCATCACAACTCACCTCACCCCCCCCCCCCCCCCCCATCCCCCTCCAGCCCAGCGCATCAGGCAGGCGACTCAGGAGAAGGCGGAGGCGGAGAAGATTCTGCAGGTCAAGAAGGCGGAGGGCGACGCCGAGGCTAAGTACCTCGCTGGCGTGGGTGTGGCTCGGCAGAGACAGGTACGGCATGGGTGTGGCTTGGCAGAGTCAGGTAGGGGCATGGGTGTGACTTGACAGAGTCAGGTACGGGCATGGGTATGGCTTGGCAGAGTCAGGTACGGACATGGGTGTGGCTTGGCAGAGTCAGGTACGGGCATGGGTGTGGCACGGCAGAGACAGGTACGGGCATGGGTGTGGCACGGCAGAGTCAGGTACGGGCATGGGTGTGGCACGGCAGAGACAGGTACGGGCATGGGTGTGGCACGGCAGAGTCAGGTACGGGCATGGGTGTGGCACGGCAGAGTCAGGTACGGGCATGGGTGTGGCACGGCAGAGTCAGGTATGGGCATGGGTGTGGCACGGCAGAGACAGG